GGATTACTGGAGAAATTCCAGAATTCGTTCCTATCCCTAAACCTGCTTTACCTCCAAAACCGGTAATAAAAAATGATGAAGTTGATTCTGATGAAGAACTGGCCAATCTTATACAAAAACAATTAAATTTATATGCAGCCAGAGTTGTTAAAAAAGCTATGAAGTTACAATGCCATTGCTCAAAATGTAATAGGACTGGACATAACTCTCGCAAGTATACTCGAAAAAAAAGCTCTAAAAATAGATCTAAAAAAAGTGGTAATATCAATAAGGTTGTTGTGGATTCTGACTCTAGTTCAAATACAAACTCTTTTGATAATGATTTTTCAGATAATAATTCTGATTCTGGGGAAACTTCATCTGAATCTGAATCTGAAGCTGAAGCTGATATCAATGTCAATATCACATATTTAAAAAAAAAATAAAGAATAGTTCAAAAAATAAGTCACCTTCCAATAAGAACAATTCGAATAAATCATCTTCTAAGAAGTCCAAATCACACAAAATAAAAAAAAACATATCTACTTCCAATAAATCAATTACACTTAAACAGAATATTCGTCAAATTTTATTAGAAATGCTCGAAAAGGTTTTACTCCCGCACCAGTTGAAGAAACTTAAATCTGAAAAATAAATATTTACCCGATTCAGATTATACAAATCGTCGAGAACCTGCTCCAATAATTCTGAAATCAGATAAAGAAGAAGAGACATTGGATGACCTTATGGAAATAGACTTTGTTCAGAAGAAGGAATCTGCTACAAATGTAGTTACTACTAAATGCAAAATTAAAAGATTAGTAATTTCAGCAGGTACCATTGATCCTGATACCAATTTTCTGATTATGTCTGAAGATATTTCTAAAAGATTAAAGCTAGAAATTAATATAAAGGAAAAACATGATCTCAGAGGTATTGCTACTACCTCCACAAAATCCCTTGGAATTGTTAGAAACGTCCCAGTAAATTTTGCTTCCGGATGTACTATATATGCCGATTTTGCAGTGATTAAATATCCCAAGCCAATGTTGATTTTGTCCAATATGTTAATTAACAAATACAGTCCGGTGTTTTTCCAAATTTAGCATTACTGAATATAGAAATAATCTATGACGATCGACATTATACAATTTTTTAGAACTTATTTATAAAATTAAATTTGATTGGCTATCAAATTTCATATATATAGTAGATTATTAGATGGCAAAAAAAAGTACTTTTAGAATGTCATGTATACTTATTAGTATACAGTAAAAACTTTATAAGTGTATACTCTTGAAGCCAAGTTTTAGTAACATATATTTTAGCACTTAAAAATTAACAAGAGAAAGTGTATTTATAGAGGCATGTACATAAAAGCTATGGTCGGCTCAGCATGAAGGTTATCCAATGTCGCAATAACAATCGCTTCAGCCAATTTGGATCTTTTCGCTAACTAGAAAAGTTATCACACATCAATTAGTAAAATATTGTTTTTTGATCCAAATGATTCAAATTCAAACAATGGATCTTGTTACTTCTCGTCAATCAGAGAACACATTTTTATTGGGTATTTTATATTGCTATAAGCAGATTTATTATAAATTAATTTAATAAATATCAATTATCTGTTATTAAGCAATAAAAATTTTCCATTTAATATCAACTTTTTGCATTTTTTGTCTCCGAAGTTCATTGGGTTCGGCGACGCTACTACTTTTATTCACTTCGGATCAATTCTAGCATAGTAAGTGTATCCCAATCCTCTATCGTATTCAAAATCAATTTAGTAAAAAATTTTATAGTGAAATTAATTCAATTATTATTCACTTGATACCTTTGATCAGCATCAACAATAGCGATGGTTACAGGCCTAGAGGGTATTGGTGGAGGAGAAGTTCTTGCTGCCTTTAATTTATTAGCGACAGAATCCACATATTCTTGAACTTCCATTAACTTGAAACTTTTCGCAATTGGTGTAAGAGATGCCTGCTTTATGAATATATCCTCGTCTTCCCAAGACATTATTGTGTGAATTTGTGACTTAACAATATATCGAAGGTAAGAATTTGCTTATGAAAAAGGTTTCGCAAAATGCGTTAAGTAAATTTTTTTTTAAAAGTATAAATAGTAAGATCCATATAATTCTAAACCAATCGAAAATTTATTAATGCAATTAACAATAAGAAAGGAAATAAGAAAGTCATCAAAGAGTTACGTGAATTAATTTTAGTGCGTTGGTAAAGAATACGGTGTTCATGAACAGATTCGATACCTAAAATTTAGTCAAACAACGAAAGCAGCAAAAAGCGCAAAAAACTAAATCATCTTATTGGATTATGATGGCACTTTAATCTATACATGTGGTAGAAATTGGTAGATCCTTGACGCAATTGACGCAATTATTTGACGCAATTAATTGAGTCACTATT